ACCAGAAGGATTTGAGGAAGTTCTGGTGATTCACTTTGGGAATTATCTTACAGCCACCTGTTTTATGGTTGTGCGTACCGGGAGTCCATGATGTTTCACCATGGTGTCACCCAGTTTGGGTGGCTTTGACATTTCACAAACATGACTAAAAATGTTTTAATGTAAAGATATGTTTTGATTTTTTTAATGCACGCTATAAACACGATTTAACGATGGAGGTCAGTCACACGCAGTCTACAGTCTGACAAAACCATCTCTACTACTTTAATTGAGTCATAGCAGCTTTTCAGCTCAGCACAGTGTTGCATCAGCAGTGATCGTTGCCCTTAGCTTTAGGAGAGTTTGACATTTTCACATTGTAACACACACACACACACACACACAGACAGATGACTCTACAGCAGTGGCTTGCAGGGAAGGGAAGTTCCTACTGCAAACAGGGAAACGCCCTGTGTGTGTGTGTGTGTGTGTGTGTGTGTCTGTATGATGACTAGACGCTGAGTGAGAGAGGCAGGGACAGTGGATGCCGGTGATGCAGTACTAAGAATGCCTAATAAAGGAACTCAATAACTTGACTTTTATTTGAAATGTTTAGGAAAGTGTTTAGGAACCAAAAGCCACTTTTAGGCTGTTTAGCTCTGAAGAAATGAAAATCTGAATGTGCCTTTTTTTAAATACAAGCAGGGCAAACTATTAATAATTAATGGTGAAACAAATAATCAAAGACATTCCTGGTAAGTTGTTTACTCATTTTTCTAAAAAGCCAAGGCTGAGACTACACACTAATATCTGGGTGTCCTGGGGCCACACAACTACTGCAGGCATACTACTACCACCATGTGACTACTGCTGCACATAATACACCCTTTAATACTAATGTGCATGTGTGTGTGTGTGTGTGTACTGCATCAGTCGGACACAAATGATTTTGTCCCTGTGTGCATGCGTTTAGGACACCAACAAGGAAGCAAATAACAGAACGTGAAATCAATGCTGTAAATGATGTTGAAAAGAAAAGCAAAAGACAACCGATGAAGAGAGGAAGAACTGGGTTCAGTTAGGGGTAGTGAGGTTAGAAAAGTGGAGAAGAGTGGAACTGAGAGGAGAAATTGGTGATTGTGTATCTTGTCGAGGCCGAACCACTTCCCTTCTTGATGGTAGGAACTTTTCCGGGAATGTTTTGAGGGACTATGGAACTGTGCTTGCATTTATGCTTCAGGAACTTCAGGAACTGCAGGAACCTGGGTCCAGTTGTAGTTCTTGTCCTCAAAATCCTCCTGCTACTATGATACTGTTTTACAATCTGCCAAAAACTATATGGGTGGAGGTTGCAGTACTGAATGTCACGGACCAGGTTTCATTACTGATATCACAGCACGAAAACACTCTCATTATATCCTCTTTACTTTGGGTCATGTCTTTTCGTTTTCAAGTGTGTAAAATCTCCCTGCACTCTCAACATGTGCACTTCTCTTTTCCAACATCTATTCGAACATCACTCACATACAGCAGCAACAGTGCTTTTTCGTGCAAGTCTCAATCTACACAGTGGCTTTTTAATCTGCCAAAGTTGTCTAATTATCACATTTTTTTAAGACGTGCTGCAAAAACAAGTGCACTGAGGGTTCTTTGAGTTCCTGAGTAGTCCCTGACTTCTCAGTTCGTGGGGCAGTTTAGCTAAAAAGGCCTGATTGTTTTCTCCAGCCCTCTCTCCGTATGACTCTCCAGCTCTTCTAATTGTGTCTTTCTTAGTGTGTCAGAAAATCCTGTCTGCTGACCCAGATGCTGTTCCACTGAATTAAAATGAAAATGATGCTAACGGGGATAATTTTTCTCCAGTGTCTGGAGTTTGATTGACATTATATCAGACTACTAACTGGCAATTAGTGGATGAAAACTCTGACCATATTTTGTTGTTGCGAAACGAGTCATGGTTAAATTTAGCAATCACTGGAATCAACCCCTGATGCTAGACGCAGGTTCAGATGTAAGGCTTCAATTTAGAGCAGAACTAATTGGCAACACAAGTTGAACTACAAATCATTTCACCAAACAACAGAGAGTGCTCAGTGTGGTTTACAGCAGGGACTACAACAAACTGCACATTACTCTGCACATAGAAACAGTGTCGTGGTGACTTCTGCTCCATCTCCCTCCTCCGCCTCTTCATCCTCAAACTCTTTCACCAAGTCCCAGTGTGTGTTCTTGCATTTTCCACAAACTGTCTGCCCGACCTGCCCTCTGTCCTCACTGACTTTCCCTCCACCGATCAGCTGCCTGCTTTTGTTAAAACACTGCACACATACAGGACAGCCTTTCACTACAAACCTGCCAGATGGTCAGTGTTGCTAAGATGCCATGGTGTTCCAGCCGTTCCTTCCTACCTGGACCTGTTCCCCATGATTTTCTAGTGCGGTTTATAAATACTTTGACCTCCTGCCTGCTCCATCCAATCTGCCTGCCTGACTCCACTGACCTTACCTAATCCTGCCTGTGGCCAACTGCAACACTGTGAAGTGACTTTAGACCTGACTAAAACTGCTTTTCACAAAACAGACATTTCTGCATTGTGTTTCCTTCTACCAGCATTTATTATTTATTAACAGTTAATAAACAAATAAATAAATATAAAACAATAACTTCAAATTTAATTGTACTACAGAGTTAGTTGTAGCCGTGCAAGTGTGTATTTTATGTGGGATGTTCTTTAAACATAAGTGCGCTACATTTAGCACAACTACCATAGTGACAGTGATCTCAGCATCTCTGGAAATAAACCTTTAAAATGGACTTCCTCCGCCCGTGGCTGCATATTACAGATGCTGTGTATTCACACATTGCATTAGCAAGTTGTGGTAGTGACACACTGTGGGAATTGTAACTAACTCCTCTGTCGTTCTCTCTTATTTTGTAACTTACACTTTAATTAGTGTCCATAATGGTAATACAGGAGTTTTTCAACGATAAGGATAATTCCCGGGGCAAGTAAAATCCCACATTGAGTTAGTAAATCTAGCAACTCCAAAGAATTAAACACATAGCTTTTGAAGGCTGTTTCTTTAAAGGCATGTCATAAATTTGGATTCAAATTTGATTTTGAGGAACTGGATTTCTGACCCACTTGCCAGACCGGGCAAATAAAAAACAAACAAACATTAACGTCAAACCCTGGGTTTAATCTCAGAGTTAAGACCTGAGCACCTGTTTGGATTTCCTATGTTTCATGACTAACTGCTTAAAATGCAATGTAATGAAAATGCAACACACATATAAATAAACATAGGAAAAGGCTAGATGCTTTGTCAGCATCTCCTGCAGTCACATCAATCCACAACTATGTGTTTTCTTAGGGGGACCACGTGTGTGTGTGTGTGTGTGTGTGTGTGCAGCATAAGTCATTGTTCTATGGGCCCTATTCCTGTTCAGGCTTCCCATGATGGCACTCACTGGGCAGAAAACACACAGTTCCTGTATGTGCACAGTCCTCGGGGCCAACTGACTGCTTGTTAGCATTACACACAGTCATTACTACTCTCCCTATAGCATGTCAAACGCACATGATGGCCAAAAACATGACTGGAGGAATCAGCAGAGAAAGACATTTAGTCTTCTGAGACAACTTAACCAGCACTTGTTTGTTTACTGCTTGTATATTTATTCTAATGTGGCAACTTCTTTAAATCAACGATGCTTTAAGTGATCTGAGAGAGCAGTGCCCAGGAAGGAGTATTATAATGTCATTTATTAGTTTATGAAACACTAAAACTATTGTTTATATATTGCCTTGTTTGAATCTTGACACAAAGAATCACCAGAATCATTGCTGTAATTCACCCTCAGGAAGACTGCTCACCATTCATCCATATGTGGAGGTTTCCCCTTGTTAAAACATCAATGAATGTGAGTCATAGCATGCAATTTTCAATGTTCTCCCCCTGTGTAAAAGCACCCTGTGTAAAGGCCAACACAGGCCTTACTGTCCTGTGCATCCCTTGCAACATTTCCTCTTTCTGGAAATCAAGTGGCAATCGAGGCACACACACACACACACACACACACACACTAATGAGAACCATGCTTTACCCTAAACCTTTAACCTCTGCTATAATTCATACCCTCATCTTTTAAGCTATATAACACATTTTGGACACAAAGCCAAATTCGCTTTTTCTAAAACTTCTTTTTATTTATCTTTTTGTAGTTATTGTTGATATGAATATATGTGTGCCTCGCTGATTAGCCACAAAGTAATATGTGTGTGTAAACAATAAAACAAATAACAATCCTTCCTTATACAACTTTTCTCCTCTCCCATAATTCATTTTAAATTCAGGCAAACTTTACACCATCTTCTGCTTAAACACGTCTGTTCTGTCCTTTCTTTGCATATGGCAGATAGGGGCGCTGTGTAACTGGCACTCTGTACATTACTAATTAAGGCAGCCCAACAATAAAGAGGTTTTAAATTCTGAAGATACTACAAACAAACTGTTGCACAATATTCATCCGCCCAGTCGACCTTGAAGTGCTCAGACCTGAAACTGAACCGCATAGCTATAGTAACACAGGGTGTAGCATTGCAGAAGCATGTGAACATGATTTGCAAGGAGGGCACAACCAGCTGCACAGACCTAAATAAGACTCGACACCTCCCAACCACAAACCGCTCATACACAAGCAGATATTGTGATAAGGAAGTGAGCCCCACCCAGGCCCTTTAAAAGATGCTGCAGATGCTGCTGTGTTTGTAATAGCTACAGGATATTTTAGCCAAATGACAATTTCTTGTTTTTCTTCAGAACTAACTGGAAGTAGCTGTAGTACGGTTTACCAGAAGTGACGTGTCAGATACTGTAATACACAATTACAAGTGTCACGGCTGACACTGTGAGAAACGTTTGCGTCTCAGTGTGCAGCAGTGTTTATGTTCTTTCATGCGTGCAGCAAACTCCTACTAAAACAGGGAAAGATGGACAGAAAAGCATCATGGGAGCACTCACTTTGTACACCTGACCGTAGGTTCCATTGCCAACTACCTCCACCAACTCAAAGATACCTGCTGGATCCTGCAAAAAAGAAAAAAGAGAGAGATATAAAACATGGTTAAGAAACAGAGGATCTGTGGGAGAGCTGAGTCACATAAAGAAAACTAAACTGAGCAGACAGCATGCAGGTGAACAGAACAAGTCCTCTAACAGGATAGAAAATGTTCATTTCAGCAAAGTCAATAATGCAAGAGGTTCGCGCCAAGTAAAACTACTATAAATAAGAATAATAAATAAAAACATATGAATAAAATAAAATAAAAAATGACAAAGAAAAGCAGCAATCCTCACATTTAAGAAGCAATGTTTGACGTTTCTGCTTAAAAAATGACTGAAATGATTCATTGATTATCGATCGTTGGCAACTGATTTTAAGGGATAAATATTTAATGGGAAACAGATACAGAAATATTGTACTAAAGATCAAGGAAAGAAGGTACAGAAATGTCCATTAACTAGCACGACACCACTATTAGCTCAGAGGTTGCCAACCTGGGGGTCGGGACCCCCATTAGGGGTTGCCTAAGCTTCACAGGGGGTCGCGAGGCCTTCTTGATATTAAGGGTTGTGAGAACACTTTTAAAATAAACACAGAGGCCCATATCTCAGCATTTTGTCCATTTCTGAAAAGAAAAGGTTATTTTCAGAGTTTAGGTTTTTCTATAAGATATAAACTTTGAAGACGAGATGTTCACAGAGCCTTCACTCGTCCTGCATTAGAGCTAACCAAGTGTCAGGGAGAAGGAAATGCCTACTTTTTCATAAAAAAGCAGCCTGGTAAGTATGTATGATTGTTAAAAATGTATAATACAGAAAGATAATTGTATAAAAAGTTCCTAAAATGTGAGGAAAACTCATCTTTGATTAAAAAACAAAAAATCACAGAAAATAATCTGCTCAAGATTCCTCCAAATCACTCATTGTACACAAACTTCCTGCAGTTGTTTGTAGTTTACATTGCTATGCATTGAATATAACATCAAATATCCATACAATGTGACACTTTCTCACTGATATAAAAAAGCTAAAGGAAAAAAGGTTGGGAACCACTGCATCAGCTATTAAGCATTAGAATAATATGAAACAACAATGTTCCAATAACTTCAATGCATTTTCTTTAATAGTTTTTCCTCTCAATCAATGCACAGTTTATCTACAGTGGACTATCACTTGTTGCATGTCAACTTTTCAGCGAGTCAGCCAAAGGAAACCCCTGTGTAAACAGTGCAGACACACACATACACACACACAGAGAGAGAGAGCATAGTGTTACAGCGCACACGGCTCTCTACACGTTGTAACACTAAGTTAGGAGCAACATGAAACCTTTTCTTTAACGGCACCCGAAGAGAGAGCCGACCGTTACACAAGGCTCAAACCTCCGGACTGCTCGCTTGAAAACTACCGTTAAGTTTTTCAAGCAACACCCACCACATCCTCCAGTGTTTACGCAAAACATTTCATTAAAAAAAAAAAAAACCCCAAAATACCAAGACAACATTGCTCTACTTACTCTTAAGGCAGCGAGGTCTATGCTGTCCAGACTTCGAGTGGTGTTTTCTCTCGACATTGCTGCCAATAAGTTTGTCAGCGGGTCGCTATTTGTGGACAAGACATGGACGGTCACAGTTTCTCTGCTACAAACTAACGGCTTTTTCCTCTTCTCGGGTCCATTCTCAAGTTTTTTTTTGCTCGCAGTGTCAAGCGAGGCAGCGGAAAGACGCAGCACTTCCGCTGGGACCCTTCACAATAAGTGTCTTTCACAGCTGACTTTGGGTTTGGTTTTATTTCTGTTTTA